GTGGTCACGATGATTCAGACGATTGTGTTGATGCAATCATCATGGTGATATTTAGTGGTGGTGTTGGTTGTCAACGTCGTGTTACAGTGGTAGTGGTGCTAGCTTTGGCAGTGTGGTTGACGCGGTGATTGTGGTGCCAATTTTGGGTTACAACAGTGGTGTAGTGCAAGCAGGTTGTGTGCTGGTGATTTGTGACCAAAATTGGTGCTGGATCTGGATCTGGATCGGGATCGGTGGTGGGGTGTTTAGTATACGTGACCAACTATTTGGACTAATTATTAATCTTTTGACTTTAAACTTTTATAATTTGTGACTAAAAAAATAATCTGCGATCAATAAATTTGAAAATATGTGACTTGTGACCTCGAATAATCCGTGACTTACAAAATTTTTGATTTTTCACCATGAAATAATTTGTGATCAATTAATTCGATAATATGTGACCAGCAAATAAATTTGTGACCTATAATTGTATAATTGTGACTTTATTATATTTATTTAATAAATGTTTTTAATTAATTACGTATATACCTGAGTTTTGAATTTTTAAACTATCTACTTGATTTTTGAATTAGTGTAAATAATACTTCTGAATTATGAATTTTTCTCATTCTATATTTATTAGGTTTCCAGTGTTGGGATTTACCTAAAGAGTCCAAAATCTCTCATAATGATAAAATTAGGTTTCCAGTGTTGGGCTTTACCTAAAGAGTCCAAAATCTCTCATAATGATAAACAAGCGAAACTCTTGCAGCCCAAAACTAAGCCCCTTATTGAGGGAAAAAAAATGGTTTGAATAGTAATTTTTTAAAGAATGAATGATTAAAAAATAGAGAAAATTTTGAACTTATATACAAAATATTTTGTTGTGCAAACATATGTTTGAATAAGTACAAGAATTAATGAGTTGCTTTAAAAGAAGACGAACATGAGCTAAATGAATATCGTAGTGAAATTTACGAAAATAGCACCAATTTGGGGATAGAAATAACCGCCAATCTGAATCGAAGTCGCAACTTTGAAAACATTAGTTTAGGTTAATAAATCATTAGAGATGAAATATTTTTTGACACTAAATCATAAGGTTAATAAATTGAATCTCATATACATATCATGAATTGATCTTAACCATTCATAACATATCACTAGCCACAGAGACGACCAATCAACTCCATAAATAACATTATTCTTTCACATTTTCAATTTTACAAACAAATTAAAAATAATAATAATAATAATAACTTTCACCCTTTAATCTAAAGCATAGACTTAGAATCAGACCGGGTTTGGCCAGCAAAACCTCCTTTCGAAAATCCTGGTAAATTCATAACAAATCCTCTGATCACATGAAACAAAAATACACATTTATAAATCATATGCATCCAGCCAACTATTCTTCATAACATGTTAGTTCCCTTTATAGGAAACAAATTGTGGTTCCCATTCCATTAAGTGGATAAAGTACAGGACCCTTTTTTTTTTCCCCTTATCCCCAACCCATAACAAAAAGGAAAAAATGTGCAATTTCTCAATGCAAGTAAGACCTCTAAAATACAGATTGCAACTTAATTTTATAACCTTAAATTGTGATGTTAACTAGTTACAAAGGAAACGTGTTCAAACGTCCTTGAAGTTCCTCTACAAGTCGACTCCTAGGAACTTCATACTCTTTAGAGGCTGCAACATCTTTTAACTTCACAACCCCCTCGTTAAGTTCCCGGTCGCCTATGATTACCATCCAAGGGATTCTTGACTCTCTGGCCCGATCAATGTGCTTCATCACTCTTTTATGGACATTGAACTCGGCTTTCATCTTTGCATCCCATAGTTCGGTTACAAGTTCAGCTGCTAATGACAAATCATCACCTAGAATGCACACTAGGACTTCAGTTTCAGCTGCTCTAATATCCTACGAGGTATAAAAAGGCTGTGTTAGTGATTTTGACATAAAGTCATCCATGTCCATAAAAGAATCACACAAGCATGTTTGGCTAAGGTTACAAAGTTCATTTAAGAGTAAATAATAAGAAAGTTATTGATCAAAAAGTAGAAAAAAAGTTGCTTATTTGAGAGTGAATCAAGAGTAACTTACACAACATTTTTCCACATGAGTAAGAAAAAAATTAACTTATCCAAACGTGTTTAGAAGCGTAGCCGATAACCAAAAAAAAATAATAATAATAATAAAATCCAATATTAACACTTCAAAGATTCTGGCTATCAAGCTAAGTTGGGATTAAAAGGATGCCACTGGAGAGGAGAAGAGGAATATGTTTGCAGTCGGAAAGAAAATTAAAATAGCTTAGTAGGATAATACTGTGCTAACAGTTTAACTTCAGGTGCATTTATTCCGAATTATAAATAAAAGGGGTTCCAATGAAAAGGTTGAACCTGGTCCTTGTCTCTTTGAAGCTGCTCCATTATTGCAAACACTCTTTCAATTCCTAAACTGATTCCAACAGCTGGAACCTGCTTTGTGCCAAACATCCCTATGAGATTGTCGTAACGCCCTCCTGCTGCAATTGAACCAACCTGCGAAACAATAAGATTTAACTCTTTCAAAGATATTCTCACAAAAATATATATGAAGTAGATGCAATCACAGAAAAAAAGAAAAGAAAAGGGGAAGGTGAAAAGTTGGAAGTATTTTGTCACTCCTGCAATAAATTGGTCATGTAACTTGATAGCATGATTTATCAAAAATTATTCTTTGCATCTCCAGAGGGCAGGAAAAATTAAATTAAACAATATTAGTATATTGCCTAAACATGCAACCCTTGGAAAACTTGACAGCAAACAAGCAACTCATTTGCACAACATTCTCATGTATGCATATAAATAGCATTAGAACTATCAATTACAAAAATGTCCACACATGAATACTTCACTGCAGAGAATTGTAAAAAGAAATACCTGAGCAGCCCCTTTAAAAACAGCTTCGAATATTACTCCAGTATAGTAATCGAGACCTCTTGCAAGACTCAAGTCAAAAACCACTTTGTCGATACACTTTGACTTCTCCAAAGATTTGAACAAAATCTCCAGCTCATTCAATGCAAGCTCAGACTCACTGTTCTCCAAGAACTTACTGCCTTCCTGTTTTAGCTTAGACAATAATTCCACGGGGGCTCCCCTTTCTCTAACAAAAGTTCCAATTTTATCTGCTATCTCCTCAGTCAATCCCTTCTCTTCCACCTGCACAGGTGACATACATACATGTAAACTACAAATCTTAAATTATGTTCTTTCACAAAATTTAAGTGTGTTTGGAAATATTTACAAGTGACTTATAAATCATTTATGAATGGAATGTGTGGTTAAAAAATGGAGGGTCCATTCGAATGGTGGTTGAAAATGAATTTTGACCATTCATAAATTGATTCAAACAGAGGCTAAAATAACTGCACAAATAACGGCAAAGACATTCGATTTTGTATAAAAAGGTAACAGACCTCAAGAAAATTTGCTTAGAAAACTAATGTAGAATTCTTCAGAATATCACCAAAACAAAAGCATAGGTTACTCTGGCTGCACAATTCATTTGATGATGGCCCCTTTTCCAACCCAACAAATTTTCAAATATGCCCCTCCAAGATGAATAAAAATCTCTTGATGGGCATATACATGTAGGAGAGGAGGATTGTATTGAGTACTACTGTACGAGTCTAGACAATACAGACTGAAGCTATTAAGAAAAGATTTATATTTAGGTCCTGTTAGAGCCCCATTTTTGGGGAAAAATAGGTATTGGAATAGTGATTTTTTTGGAGAATGGTGGTTAAAAAATAGGGAAAAGTATTGGGTTTATGTGTAAAATTATTTTATAAGAGAATGTGTGGTTAAAAATGAGTTTTGGGAAAAATGGAGCTCAAGCATAGTCTTAGTCTATCTTCCTCCCTCACTCCCCCCTCCCTGCATAACTTCAATAGTCCTCCAAACTAAACACTTTGCAATTTACAGCTATTTATGGATAAACAATGAAGAAAAAACCAACTTAGTTTCAATATGAAGGAACACTGAACAGGATAACTTCAAAAGAACCTGAACTAGAAAGCTGGAGGAAGAGTGGAGAAGACAGACACAGGGGGAAGAGGCAAGTGCTTTATCTTAGCATTTGATATACAATATATGATGAGCTATTCTCTCATTCCATCGAAGGCAGTAAGTGATCATCCACAATTACGGCAATGGACTAACATTCTATAACAGCAAGTGGAAACATTTTTAGCAACAAAACACGGCGCTCACCATTTCCTGTTTTATCTGCTCAAATGTTTGCTTGTCTAACTTGTCAATACTTGAACAAATCGTTCTAAACTTTTCTTGAGGCACCCCACATAAAGCCAGCATTCCATCAAGTAACTTCCGGTGATTCAGCTTCACCTGCAAAAGTTTTATGGTAAAAAGGTTAAAAATGAAATAATATGTGTATCTAATCAAGCATCTTAACAAGAGTTGCCAAAACATGCACGAATTAAAGAGGGATGAGAAAAGAAAAGCAACATAGCAAATGCATACATAAACATAAATAAAGAAACTAACAACATCACCAGGTAGAAGCCATATTATGTCATTAATATTCTTTTAAAACTGAAATCCGTTTGCTGATAGGTCACCAACCACTCGACCAAGATCATACATTTTCCACTGGCTCTTATAATTATTAATGTCAGTCTACCACATAATTGCAGATCATCAATTCATCATTGATATAGAGGATAACAATGGTAAGATAAGGCATAAAACAATCTCTGAAGTAAAAAAACAACAGAATAGATATTTTTTAAAATATACTCATTGGCACTGTTCAGAAGATTACCTCATAATCCCCAATATCTAGTTCATTAAGCAACTCTGTCAAAATCTTAATGACCTCAAAATCTGGCCCCATTTTCTCAAAATGACCAGCGATATCAAAATCACATTGATAGAATTCACGGTATCTCCCCTTAGATGGGTTGTCCCTTCGGTATACCTTCGCTATCTGATACCTTTTGAATGATGTCAAGCCATTCATAGCCACGTATCGAGCAAATGGAACTGTCAGATCATAGCGAAGTGAGCAAAGTTCTCCACCCTGTAAACAAACCAGAAAATATTAAAGCTAGAGAAGAAAACGAGAAAAGAAAGAGAGATGAAGAAGAAGAAGGCATAATTTTGTAAATTTATTACACGTTATTCACTCAATTCTGTGATATAAATGAAATCTACATCCCAAAGACTGTTGAGGAAATTCTTTGTCAAAATGGGATCTGTTTATCCAAATTGTAACATGTAAAAATAGATAAAGATTATGAGTGCGGAAACCATGTGCACAGAGATCAAATAAAAATAATAATGTCCTGCTTAGATGGTCAATCAAATATTTCTTCTTAAGCAGGTCGGGAACAAAAACTATAGTCAACCATAGTGTTTTTATTTATTTATTTTTTTTTAAGCAAATAAGCGATTATGAGAAACAGTAAATTACGCTATATTTCTTCATAATTGGTGTAAAACCCAAAAAATGTTCCATGTGCACAGAGATCAAATAAAAATAATAATGTCCTGCTTAGATGGTCAATCAAATATTTCTTCTTAAGCAGGTCGGGAACAAAAACTATAGTCAACCATAGTGTTTTTATTTATTTTTTTTTTTTTTAAGCAAATAAGCGATTATGAGAAACAGTAAATTACGCTATATTTCTTCATAATTGGTGTAAAACCCAAAAAATGTAAGAAGATTCCAAGTAAGTAGACACGTGTCATAAAAATATACGAGAGATCCTCTAGAACATTTTAATGGCATCTCCTGCTCGCAACATGTTGCATCAAACTTCAGATATAGTGATAAGTGTCCATATACGATAGGCTAGGGCATAATAGGCAATCGGCGATGAATATTAGTGCCCTAACATGTTGAGAGAGGGGCAAGGATCCAGTTTAATGATCAAGTGCACGAAATAGTAAGTCTAGGAAAATATAATTATAGTAGGGACTTTGAACACATGGCTATTTCATAACTAAAGGATTGGATTCGGAGTAAAGTCGTCAGAAGTTGCATAAAAGATGAGGTGGTTGGGACTTGGGACATAATGCAAAGGCATTCAAGAGCACATGTTATAAATTTTAGAACAAATCCTTCATCTAAGTTTAAGAGATGAGGTATTGGAAATTAAAAGGTTCTGGAGGGATTACATCACTTATGACTAAGGTGAAAGATGAGTTAATTAGTGACATCAGCTACGATGCATTATTTCAAAGTAGATGTGCTCACTTGATTGTTTTCAGAAGCGGACAAATTCTAGTCAAATATAATTTATCCTTGTCATACAAATATGGTAGGACTAAAATGTTATTCTTAAAGAATCTAGTTAAGCAA